TCGCTTTTTGTTTGTGTTGTTTTATAAAGTAAAATTAAAATTAACGAGGAAAATGTTAGGTAATGTTAGACAGAGAATAATTGGCAGAAAATATATTTAATCCATATTATTGAAGTGTTGAATATTTTTATTATTGATAATTATTAGGTCGTATCGATCGATCAACATAATTATGTCGTTATAATATCTTCTTAGCCATTCGTATTATATAATATTTCCAACGTACTATATAACGCTTTTGTAGTATTTTAAGTAGTATACGAAATAGCTTCTTATATATACGTATACAGTCTCACCCTAAATTATTATTCAATTTTCTTTCTACGATTATTCTTATACTTAATTTATTCATTCATTCATTCATTCATTAATAATTAATTACTTCTGTGCTGAACCGGTATTGCTACCGTCTCGCTAATATTTTCTAAACAATTTCTAATCATTTGAACAAATATTCGTAAACAATGCGAAAACACCGGGAAGACTTTCTGCACAAATTACATTTTTTATTATTACATATTTAGATTTAAATTTTGAAATCGTTTCGAATGATCACGAATTGTCGAATTTGATTAAATTTGACTTTTTCTTTACGAAAAAAACGCGAAATTACATTTCGATATTAGCAGAAGAGAAAGAAAAAAAAACAAAGAAATTTACGAAGTCAATCGTCCGTAAATTTTCTCAATATCAAAAATTAATCTCGATGATTTGCAAATATTTTCCTAAAAAAAAAGATTTTCAACTAACGGTATATATTACTATCATCATTGTTTCACATTTGCACCATTTAACTTCTTTATTCTCTCTCTTTCTCTCTCTCTCTCTCTCTCTCTCTCTCTCCAATCTTTAACCATTGGTGTCCCCAATGATTTATCATTGCTCTCAATCTAATTATTATTGCAATTTATGGCTATGTATTGCATATACACCCGTTTCTTCCACCTCCCCCCCCCACTACCACACCTCTTCATCACGAATGTATTCTAAAATATGCAAGTTAAATTTCCTCCCGATTAACGTATACGATTTGATTACCGTAGATACTAGCTTTTATCATTTTAGCAAATTATCTAAATATTGGTTTCTTATATCTATATATACATATATATATATGTGTGTGTGTATACGTATACATATATAGACATATATATATATGTATGTATATTGATATAACTATATATTACATTTTATTATCACTCGCGCACGGGAAGGTAATCGCTTTTGCAAATGAAAATCTATAATTAACGTCATTACCATGTTGAATATTAAATATTTGATAACAATCAAATAGATGATGTCTGTTTGTAATTTATTTTAATTCAATAAAATGATCAATCATGTAGTTTTCATCAAAGCGAGTAATTTCTCTAAACGCAAATAACAAGTATTTTCGATTTTTATCTCGCTCATCTTCGATTTATATTTTAAATATAATTCAAATGAAAATTATCCGAGAGAAACAATATATATATATATATATATATATATATTTCAGAATCAATTTATTTTCTAATGAGAGATTCACAATCGTGTCATCATTAGTAGTCAAACAATTAATTGGAATCAACATTTATAGACGTTTAATCGAAAATATGCATAATTATAACACATGCATAATAATATAATAATATTTCTATTCACAAAATTGATAATTTATTTAAATTCGTCCAATTTTCACGATCGTTATCGTTGGTAATAGTAGTACCGTATTACTGAGAGGAAAAACGTAACGCGATATTCAAATGACCAAGATGAAAGTAATATTTTACATCGACGTAACGATAAAATCTATTTTAACGTTAAACCGCAATAAGCTATTTTGTAATCAAATTTAAACGGGAGTAAAGACAACAATTTATTTACACGTACCACAAGACGTGTCTTATCGTTGTTCGTAACGCGTGCGTTTAAAACAAATCACATGTTGTTTTTTTTTTCTTTTTTTTTTTTTTTTTTTCGTATATCGATAACGAAGACTTCACCAACGAACCGTAAAAGCATAAAAGGTGAAAAAAAAAATAAATAATCGATAGAATGAAAATTTTTTTTTGCAAATTAATTCGATCAATACGAAACGAGATAGTTATTCGTTTAACACGTGGTTTTAAAAAATTGCAAAAAAAAAAAAGAAATAAAGAAATAAGGAAAACCAACCGACGAGAAAGAAGACAGAAAAAAAGGGAAAAATAAAATGAAATAAAAAGAAAAAAAAAAGAGAAAAAATGAAAAGGATCGAGAAATCGATCGTAGCGAGATAAAAAAGAAAGCTTGATGCACCCTGGTAACCAATAAATGGGCTACATCGACGCAGGTAATCGACGAACAGCGAGTGTGAGGTCTGTCGGCTACTCGGACCTATTCGTTCTCAGCAAAAAGGACATGTGGGACGTCCTTAAGGAATATCCAGCTGCTAGAGTTAGATTGGAATCAATAGCGGTTAAAAGACTCGAGAAGTACAAAAAAGCTCCACTTAAGAAACGTGAGTACCTCTTTCTTTCTCTTTTCTCCCTTATTTATTTACCTTATTTGTACTAGACATTTTTTTGTACTATTGTCGGGACTTGATAAAACAAATTGCAAAAGTTTATTATAAAGATCATCATACTTCTTTCTTTCTTTTATATTACAATTATTCATAATTATTTCATTTCATTGGTTATTTCTTTTTTCTCTCCACTTTAAAATAATAGCGATAGAAATTTATAAGGTAATATGTAAAACGCGTCGTAAATTCGAGACACGCAACTAGACAAATGTAATATACTATATTTTGATAGAGTGTTTCAACGACGTTTCCTTAGGATAGGTGACAAAGAAGGCATGGTTGGTTGTATTGTTTAATGAAAGAAGATCTCAAAGAGGTAAAAGCGAGGTTTAAACGAGAAAAGGAGGAAATTGATCTCCTACTCTCTTCGTGGCTTAAAATGCTTTAATATAAAGAAACAGATACTCCTTTGAATCCACTCACCTTTTGTTTTTAGATAGCGTAATCACACAAAAACAAGGATATTCATTATCAATAGGTATCTGTCTATATTTATCGTAAAGTTAACGTATTTGATTAATAAAAAAAGAAAGATAAAAAAACAATCGATAGAAAATAGACGCAAATCAATTTCTGTGATTTGACTATTATTTAAATATAATAAAATAAAGCACGAATATATATTTGAAATATGACCGGTTTGGTAATCTCTGTTAACACGTCAAAACAAAAATGAATTAATCATTTAGCTAGAAACCTAAACGAAAATCCATCATATATTATCCTCATAATATCTCTGATTGTGAGATTAAAATCATATCGTCAAATATTTCAGTGGCAATGAGCAGATGTCAGAGTGCACCCGGATTGGTAGAATTACATGCAAGAAAACCAATAGAGGATACATTGGTGTCACCGTCAGGTGACAAAATAAGAGGCCAGGGTTACGCTATTGGTGCTGGTACACGTTCACTGTTTACCCCGAGTTCGAGTCCAGTATTAACGCGAGCTGGGGGTGTTACCAGTGATACCGGGGTACCTACTAGCATCGCAACCGGTCCTATTTTACCTGGTAATAACGTCAACGTCAGCGTCAACGTCACTAGCAGAAGTATGGACAGCCCGATGAGTGCCACGAGCAGTGGACAAAGTAGCGAGGATCCAACTGCCAGGATGCCAAGATCACTTGCAACTCAGCCTTCAACTGGACGACAATCTACTCATTCAGGTGAGTCATATTTTCGTAACACTATTTTTTTTTTATATCCCTTGGGAAGATCCGACCTATATCAATTGGAAAAATAAAAGGTTTCGAACTCGTACGATGAAAACTTAGATAAAAAGTATACTTTAAACGAGTAAGTTTAAAACCAATAAGATAGTAGATTAATCGTCCAAGAAGAAGGAAGAAAATAAAACAAAAAGATATATTATAAGAATATTTTTATTCCATTCTTGATCTTGCAATATTTTCCAAGATTGTGATGATATTATACATTAAAATAATTTCGAAGAGATATGACACATATAAAATCCAATCTATTCGTTGTCCTATCTAAAGTGCAATCGATCAAAACTTTTTACACATACACTCTGGAGGATTACTTTGATTGGAAAAGATCTTATATCTGTAAGGATAGTAATAGGAGGTTAAATAACATATCGATATTAATACAACAATATGGTGGTGCTCGATATTGCTTCGTTTATTAGATTTTATTCTTAAAGATCTCGGTAATACTATGTTCTTAGGTTTCGTGTTTGTCAGCCTGTTGTTACGACACTTTTTTTATATTTAAATTATCTATTGTGTATGTACACTAATAATTAACAATAGGACAACCTATCCTTGTACGTATTTAAAAACTAAGAGTCTCTATTTTCTAGATATCATTTTATTACACTCAATTTTGTTTTTTACACGATTTTCATTTAACGCGATCAATCCAAATTAATTCCAATAATCTAACATGTGAAAACTCATTGTTTTATTATATTATTTTTGTTGATTTCTTAGGACTGGAATCAATCTTCTATTATTCGATAGATGTAATATAGTTTTTCTTTTTTTACACGTATTCTTCACGAACGTTCAGGAGTGTTTTTCAAGTTTTGAAAAACAACAGAAGGAATATATGATGTTTCTCAAATAGCTTACGAATCTAATATGTTACAGGTATGACGTGCAACAGCATGACGCAGTTAATGAGCGAAGGTGCTACACCGTTACCCGACGTGACCTCGCACGAAGCACTTATAGCTGAGATCAAACACTTGAGGGAACGTCAGTTAACGTTGGAAACAGAAAACGCAACACTTACCGCTCGATTGAATCAAAGAGAATGGAAAGTGGAACAACGTTTGACAGAAATCGAATTGCAAATTTGTGGTGTCAGTTCGACATCGAGCGTAGAGGACAACAACGAGCGTAATCGCGAAAGCATCATTTAACGAGAAACAAGGCCGCGAGAGCGCGGCAAAGCAAAGATGGAGCTTATACGTCGTTTTATCGAACAAGCTAAGGTTGAAGATTTCATTGGTTCATTGACAAACGTCGAACTCAACGTAGGTGCAAGATTAAGCGACACCAAATCGATCGGTAGCTTAAGTCAGCATTTTTTCGAGAGCGACGAAGATGAAAGGTATCTACACGTCTGTCCATCTATTGGGTTACCCGAAAAGTTCGGATAAACATTTTTCAATATATATGTTACCTATCGCTAAAGTGTAGGAATCAGTTATTCTGCAGATTAACCAGGATAATCAGTTAAAGTGCCGATAATTCTTTCATTTCTCAAATTATTTAGATTTGCAATCACATTATCTTAAATCCTGACCCATTATCAAGGGATTGTTTTATTGCTGTTTGACGTAAAGATATTTGAATGTGTACATTATCTAAATAAAATGCAGAAAACTCTTGATTCCGCGATTTAACGGAACAAATCTGTTAATCTGTAGATTATCTAGGTAATGTGTTCGAGTTTTAGCAGTAACATATATATATAATCCAATTTAACTGAATATCGGTACGAACTTTCCAGGTAACACAATATTTTTTTCCATTATTTGTATTCCTTATTCTTTTGATTTGACAAAAGACGATTTAACTTTATTTTCCATTTCTTTCTACGATCACTGTCTATCTGTATTCCGACAGGTATTACGGAACGTGCAACGGTTACGCCTCACAACCCGGAAGCAAATCAAACCTGTTGCTGTGCAGCGAATGCGATCAAAAGACACGTACTTGCACGTACAGACCGCAGACACCGGGATCTTATTTTGGTCGTTACGTAGAGGAACGTTTGGATCCTAGGGAGGATTTAACTTTCCTTAGGCCGGAATACAAAACGTCTGTCCGTAGTAGTCCATCGCCAAGATTGTCACGTGATTTTCAAGAAATTTCTATGTCGCCTAGATCACGAAACCATTTTCAGGATTCACCGTCACCGAGATCTAGTCGTCAAGAGTTCAAGGATCAACAACAACAGCAACTATTGTCGCCCGAATATATTCGTCGGGAGGAAACTTTCGGTGAATTGGAAAAACGTCAAAAACAAAAGGGAAAGGAAGAAGAGAATAATGAAAATGAAGAAGAAGAAGAAGAAGAAGAAGAAGAAGGTGAAGAAAATGAAGAGGAAGACGAAGAAGCTGAGGAAGACGACAGTCCGGTTTGCGAGCTTTGTCACGGTAACGGTCTTATTTTGGTTCACTGCGAACATTGTAATTTTTCAACCGAAGGAGATCTCATATGTTTCCGTTGTCAAAGCGACGAAAATTCATTTAACGGCAACAATGGTTGTCCACGTTGCGAGAGAAGTGCTAGAATAGCTGCTGCTACTGCAGTAACTGGCGTAACTACATCGTCCGATGAAGATAATCGTCATCGTCATACGAGTAAATATCCGGTAGACGCGGTAGTTAAGATCAAATTAAACGATTACATGATAGACGTTGATTCGGACGATACAAACGACAGCGATCCATCGATAGATCGTCAAAGAACTCAAGTTGAACGACTCGACACTATCGTTGAGATCAAAGGCGACACTGCCAGCGAAAACGACGACGATAACAATGGCGGCAACGGCGGCCATGACAGTGGTAGCAATGGCAGCGCCAAATTGAACGGAACTACGAGCGCGAGATTTCTCAATTACATGATCGTACTATGCTTGTAAATAAATTAATATTTTAATCGATTAAAGTGATAGTTATACATCATCGTCATCAAAATGCAATTTCTATTCGCTACGCGTATTATTAAAAGAGAATGATAATATTAATAATGTGATTGGCGAATGGAACGAGAGATAAAAAGATTAAAAAAAGAAACTTTGGCCGATGATTATTCTTAACTGTAAATATTAGAAAAAAATAAAAACAACAAAAAAAAAAACTGCCAAGTGACACGCGATAGTCAAAATCGATTTTCTCTAAATGCGACGTAGAATTAAAAAGAAAAAAAAGATATTAAAAATTAAAATTAAATTAAATATGTACTTATATAGGTAGCTCGTATAAACGGTAATTGAAACAGAAATAAAACTAGGGGGAAAAGGTGGCAATGATATTACGAAAGAATGAAATAGAAAAATACGCCGAGCGAATTGGATCATACAAAAAAAATTGATAAATATTTAAAAAGAGAAAGAAAGAAAAGAGAGAGAGAGAGAGAGAGAGAGAGAGAGAAGATGGATAAAACAATCTGTCTCAGGGACAGCCGATCTGCCCGCAGACTTTCGTCGCCGAGCGCCAAAAAAGGAAAAAACAAAAACAAAAAAATAAGAAAATATTAAAAAATTAATCCAGAGGCGTTCCTGCGCACGTAACCATTAGAATGGGTTTGTACAGAGATCGTAATTATACAATATATATTGTCTCTCACTTAGGAAACACCTTCCGTTAATTTTCTATCCAAAAAAAAAGAAATAAAAAAAATACTGTAACAAACGACGAAAGAACGAGGGCTCTCGTCTCGCTGATTGTTAAAAAAACAAAAAGAAAAAGAAAACAAACCATACTCTCTACTGAAGAAAGATACGAGAAAAAAATCGATACGAAGCAAACAAAAAACGAAGAAAAGAGAAAACTAAACGAAGAATGTGCTAGAGGATAATGCGCGAAGTAATATATAAAGTATATATGTGAATACTATATATATATATGCTGCCAAAATAATAAATCAAAAAAAAAAAAAAAACAATTTAAACAAATTTAGCGCGAGGACTTTACGATTTAAGATTTTTCATACCTTCGATCGAATTCTTTCTTAGCTTTTATGTAAAAGCAATAGGCGCGAGCCCGTACGCGGACATCACACACACACACACACACACACATACACGTTGACACACAATTTAAACAAACAAGGATAAATGTGGTGAACACTCGCGTATCGTCGGAGAGAGAAAGGCTAGAGTAATTATATTAGAAACAGAAAAAAAAAAGGGCAAAAAAAAAAAAAAAAAAAAAAAAAAAAGAAAGAACGAAAAAAAGAGAGTAATCTTACGGCCAATCCGCAACGCGTAAGATACGATAAAATGTCAATTCCTAAGAAAGAAAAAAAAGAAGGAAAGAAAGAAAGAAAGAAAGAAATAAATAAAACGCAAATCGATAAAGGATGATCGAGGCAACAAAGCGCGTTTAAACTGCCATCATTTTCACAAAGGATAAATAAAAGGTTTTAGCTAAGATTTTTGCACAAACCCATACTAACTCATGTTCGGGACCAACTATTATCCATCATCTAATAAGCGACAAATGCCACTTCCGAGTCTCCAACTTTCGTTCATAGTCGTCGTTAGTCGCTCTAACAAACCAAAAAAGGAAAAAAAGAAAAAAAAAGAAAAAAAAAACGAAAAAAAAAAAACAAATAAAGAAGAATTTACGCCAGTTTCTCGACATTTAACAAAAGTTCAACGATACTGAATGGCATAAGGGGGAAAGAAAAAAAAAAAAAAAACAGGAAAAAGAAAAAAAAGATAATTGACATATTGTAAAAACATAATGACAGAGAAAAATAGAGAGATTAAAAGAGGCAGGTACATAAACCTTACTTTTATTTCGTTTGCATTTACTATTATTAAAACGAAAATGAAAAAAAGAATATATGAAGAAGGAAAAGAATTTCGCGGTGTCCTATCTCGCCTACGTTAGAGATGCCACGAATAAAAATATATAAAATGAAATAAATTAATAATAATTGTCAAGGATTATTCTCGAGCGAGTTCACATCGTCCCGACGCGAATTAATTAACTAACACTAATTATTGTTAATTTCCGAAATGAACGTATAAAGTAAAAAATGATCCCGCGCCAATTCTTCGCCTATTTCTAATGGATTTTTTCCCCCACCATGCGCAAAGATGGCGGCACCCCGATGGAGCGTTCGTATTCGTTAAAATGGAAAAGAAAAAGAAAAGAATAAAGAAAAATACGAAAAGTATGGCTGTACGAAAGAAGAAGAAGAAGAAGAAGAAGAAGAAAGAAATGAAAAAAAATAAAAATATCGGAGGAGGAAGTAGATTTTTTGTCCACAAGGAACCATTTAGAAAAAAAAAAAAAAGAATACCAATCGAAAGATTCGAGTCGATACCGATTCGTGCCTCTCGAAATAAAACAATTATTAATTATTAACGAAATAAAGAATAAATAATAAAAAGAGTAAACAAAAAAATAAATAAATAAATAATAATAATAATGATAATAATAATAATAATAATAATAATAATAATAACGAAATAAGGAACGGCGGCGCAAGAGAGAGAGAGAGAGACGAAACCGTGTTGTTTGAAAGACATTAATATGGATATGAATTTTTTTACGCAAAAATATTTTTCAACCATCGAATTATAAAATAGAATTTAGCTAGAAATTGAGAGAAGACTTTTTTTAAAAAGAAAAAGGAAAAAAGACGTCCGTTTCTAAAAAAAAAAAAAAAAAAGCCTCTTTGTAAAAATCGTTTCTCCGAAAGAGAGCGATCGCTACTCGCTGAACGTTGAAGAAACAGAATGAAAATAGGAATGAACAATGACTCGATCTATTGCATACGATTGAAACGAAGTAAAAGCATACTCTTTGAAAACTAAAAAAAAGAAAAAAATTAGAATAAAATATTGCTTACACATATATTACGACAAGATTCCAAGTTCTTCCGCTGGTATAAAAGTAAAACAAAAAGAAAAAAGAAAAAAAAAAAGAAAAAAGAAAAGGAATAAGGAAAGAACAAAAAAAAAACAATTATAATAAAAAAAAAAAACCATAACTACTGCCCTAGCTTCCTCCTCCTTCTCCCCTTCATTCCGGAACAATAATAAATAAATAAATAAATAAATAAATAAAATAGGAGGAATATAATGTTGTCGTAGTCACATATCCGATTTCGAATGGGGGAATATGAAAGCCCGCAAAAAAAAGGGGGAAAAAATAAAGAAGAATGATACAGAAAAATTAAAATTATATGGTATATGCATTCTCTGAAGGATGCATATTTGATTCGATGCGTGCGTCGAGGTGCGGGGGAGGAGGACAAAAGGAGAACTCGCTTCGCCCGCGAATAGTAGCGATCAAAGTGCTCTTACTCTACAACATGATTATCGCGCGTGGGAAAATTTATGTAGATCTTAAGAGAACCAACTGAATTGGAAAAAAAAGAAGAAACGGGATAAAAAGGGATGATGGATCGACGACGAATCTAATCGTTTATTTTTTTTGTTTTTTTTTTATTTTCCTTTTTCTTCTGCATTAAATTCTACTCATTTTTTTAATTACACAACGGTAAAGTAAAACATTCGTTCTTGTATTCTTCTTTTAAAATTCATTATTATATAATTTATAATATAATTTTATAATATTATTATAAAAATAAATGACAAATATATTGGAAACATTCATATCGTAATAATTGATTTTATATATAATACGTATATTTAATATATTTATTTATCGTCACTTTTATTCGATAAAATTGTTCAAATGATATATATGTGTTTTTGTTTTTTTTCTTTTTTTAATTTACTTCACTGTCATGATTAAAACGGATACGTTAATTAATAATTATTTTTGATTTTCATAACATCGATAACACATATAAACACACACACACACACACACGTGCGTACATATACGCGTTTAATTACTGCCTTTCAATATATTTCTTTATTATTTACATAAGTATATACAAGGTGTCTCAGGTTTGTTTCGTTTAAACAGGGGCGGTGACATCATGTATAATTTTTAAATAAATAAAACACACAAACTCGCTCAAAACATAAATATTATTTCAAGAATATTGTAAAAATGCGTCGTCCATCCACCTTTTAGCGCAAAAATAACACCGAGAACGTTACGTTATTACTACTGCCACCTTATACTTTTAAAAAAGAGAAAGAGAGATAAATAAAAAAAGATGAAGAAGAAGAAAAAGAAAAAGAAAATATAAAAAACAAAGAAAACAAAATGAACTTCCGCGTACACTCGTTTAGAAAAAAAAAAGAAAATTTCGTTAGATTAGAAACAACATTGCGTGAGTAAGTGAAATAATATATATATACATAAATAAATAAATATATATATATATATATATATACTTTACTTACTCTACTTAAATTGCGACTTTTGAACCTCTCTATAAAAAGATAGATAATAATAATAATAATAATAATAATAATAAAAAAAACAACAATTTAAAAATACTTAAATAATTAATACTAAACGCATACCAATATACACACTCGCGTATCTCTCGACGAAGGATAAAGAAAAAAAAGAATTAATTAAATAAATGTGAACAAAGCGCGCGACGATACGATAAAGAACGAGCAAACGACTGACGTACACTTCTAAAAAAAAAAAATTTACACATACACACACACACACACATACATACATACAACCATACACATTTTTCCCCGTGAAAATAAAAAAAAAAGTAAAGAATGAAAAATAAAATTTTGAATTGAATTTATTATCTCGTTTACTATACGTTACTCGCAATCGATGTAATATATCATACATAATATACCCTTTTACATAGTTAATTAATTCATTTAAATACATAGATACGTACATATATATATATATATATATAGACGATACGACCATGTAATGTTACAAATATCCGTGGGAGATAAAAAGAAACAAACGTCTGCGAATTTGATTCACTTACAATTGCGAAATAAGTGACAACAAATAAATAAAAAAAAGATTGGAGAGAGTCGAATCAGCCTTAAAAAACAAACCAACAAAAAAAAAAAAAAAGAAACAACCGTAGGCAATTATTAAATAACATTCCTTTATTTTTTTTACGTTTGTGAACGTAATTGTAATAAATAATTTTTTTTACAAAATCGTCAACAATTCACATTGAAAAATGAAAAATAAAATGTTTAAGAACAAAAACGACTACGGACTCAGAGAAAAAAATAATAATGTGAACGAACACGAAAAAAAAAAAAGAAACAAAAAAATACATTGATTCGCCCTTTTTGCTATCGTAATCGTAAACAATGTCTTCTTCTTCTCAATCTGCGACCATTTAATATTTTTTATTTATTTCTACGAATAATTATACGCTAGTGTGTTAAAAAAAGTTTGGAACGAATTAAAAAAAGAAAAAATGAATGAAATATCGTATCTTCGAACAGGAGGGATTGCTTCTATCATTTCGTAGACATCGAAGAAAAAAAAAGAAACTATGAGAATTGTACGTATAATACGTAGGATAAATATTTGTGCCAAGGATCGTTTAAAACGCGTCTTCCTTACAATTTTTCCCATCGAAAAAACAATCCTTTCATTTGATCTTCCACCTTAACGCATCGAAAACTAAAAAAGAAAAGAAAAGAAAAGAGAGAGAGAGAGAAAAAGTGAGAAAGAAAGAAATTTAATTTCCAAAAAAAGACAGTACAATTTTCTATATAATTTTGCCAATGAAAAAAAGAACAAAAAAAAAAGAGAAAGATAAAAAAAAAAAAAAAACGAAATAAACAAGTAGAAGAAAGAAAGGATGGAATAACGAAACGAAAGGTTGCCTTCATCCGTTGAAAAGATGTAAAAAGATGGTGATGAACGATCGTGAATAAATTTTACGGGATATATATGTATATACTTTTGAAGGAGGGGGAAAAAAAAAAAAAA